CTTGCGTTGGATGGTCATTACGGATTATTGAGGGATTTTGATATAATATGAATGGGGCAAGGGAGGATATGCACTGCAGTGCAGGTGTTTAATTTAGATCACAAAGGCATCGTTTCCGGCATCGTTTCCGGCATCGTGCAGAGTCACTATCTTCCCCTCCTCTGCACTGCGGCATCTCTGCGCCCCACACACGGCGTCCTCACTCCACGGCCGGCCGCCGCCAACTGACCCACTCGCCGGGCGCCGCGACCTGACCCGTGTCACTGCCGCGGCCTGCGCAATAGAGTCGGGGCTGGAATCCGGGGGTTCGGCCGGCCGGCCGCCTCTGGAGCGGGGGACTTTTTTAGTAGACCTACTGTACATAGAAAACCAATAGGTCCGGCGAGGGTTAAAGTCCTATATCGGCGGCTCTGAGGACCCAACACCTGCGCATCTAAAGGCCACCCAATGGTGACTTTTGAGGGCCTCACACTGGTGACTAAGGGCCCCACCGGCGTCTGGTAGTACCATAGTAGGGTCAGGTCAGGTTAACCCGCGCCCTGCTGGGGGGGGGGTGTTTGAACACCCCCCTTATGGTTTTTCGCGAATATCTAAAAAACGGCGGCGCGGAGCGCCACCGTTTTTATTACACCTTATCATACATCAATTCTACACATGTTGTAAAATTTTAGACCAAGGTCATTCAAGGTCAGGTCACCAGGTCACTTGAAGTGACCTCACCTCATAAAAAGTTTCAATGTCTGTCATAGCTACACCGAGTGACCGATCGCTTTGAAACTTTCAGTGATTGCTAAGAGCAATAGCATGTACAAAATGTATATCTCAGAATTTTGATATCGATGACCTAAGGTCAGGTCAATTTCGCGATCTCCCCCTTCCCAGCCAGCAATTTTGCTCCGGGCCCAAGCAGGCTCAAGTGCGGATTGCCCGAGATTTTTAGTCGGGCTAAAGTCGGCTAGGGCTTGGGCTAAAGTCGGCGTATGACACAAATACGCCGACTAAAGCCCATGCTCTGCCGGAGGTATGCCCGCTCTGCGAGCTCCGGACAGCCGTAGTTTAGCCCTAGTTGAGCGACGATTGGCGTTAGCCCGATTTAAGCCCGAGCAGTGAATCCATTTATATAATGGAGATTACTCTGGGCCCGAGCGGGCTGAACTCCGGCAAGCCCACTCTGTGTGCCCTGTCTATCCCGACTTAAGCCATAGAAGTGAATGGGGCTTATACATTGCAAACTGCTGTGGCTTTGCTCGGGTTCGGCTCGAGTGATGGCTCCTGTTTTCTCAAGTCTCGACTTGACTTCATCTTGCTTTTGCTTCACACTGGATCAAGTAGCAAGTAGCAGCCAATGCACTTTCAGCAGGTTGTGCGGTTTCAATGCATATTTAAAATTGTTACGGTCACTCATATGCTCTGTTAACCGGTCATCGAGGCTCGAGCATTGCAAAAGGAAAGTAGTGGTTGACTTTGATTGAATATATATTTCAAACGACTACAGACACGTCAAATGAAACACAAATACATGAAACAGTGGACTGCAAACTGCAGCAGTAATATGGCATGAGTCATGAAAAAACGCCATCAAAACAATAAAACAATCACAAGGCCCGCTAGCCTCCCTCCCCGTTCATAATACTTGGTTAAACACTCAACTGAAAGCATAAAGTAAGGACAGCAAGTAATCGCTCATAAGACATAAAGCAATAAGCAAACAATCGTTTATAAGGAACTTCACTCTGGTGAATGGGAGCTTTGGAGGCGTCTGGCTCCTCCACACACACACATCTGCAGTAGGTGGTCGGCCAGCTTTCGGGCTTTCGGCGCAGTTTCCGTATATGTATATATACCTACTTAATTATAAGCAGGCAGTTTCCGCTAAACCACTTGGCGAGGGCGACTGCGGCGTCCACCCGGTCCTGGTTTGTATAACTATTCCATTTTTTGGAACCATTTGCTCTAATGGTACGTACCTGAAAAGAGATTAATTTGGTTTAATTTACATTGCATGTTTGCTTGAAAAATAACTTATTGATGCATTAATACTGTAAAAACACTTCTCATTGATCCGTATAAAGTGTTCATTTGATTTTAAATGCGGACAGAGAATGAGCGTGCTCGGTGATAAGTAGATAAATATTTGTGTTTTGTATTTCATTTTCCTGGTTCAGAAGTGCTAGTATTTCACAAAGATATAAAGGCACGGAATGCAGCTTTTCTGAGCGAGGGTATAAGTCGCCAGGCTGAACAGTTATTCAGCTTCATGTTTGATGGCGTCAATCTCAGTCAAAATCATGACGTTTACATACGATCAAGCGCACCATTCAATACACTTACCTACCGTAAAACTCCATGCCAGTCCACTTGATAAGAGCAGTGAGCACTATCCCTTCTTCGCGCTGTCACACGCGCCCAAACATCAACCACCAAATGCCCCAACACCGGTGTGTCGTTTCGTCGCACAGCGCACAGACTGTCACAAACGCTGCACATGATTGGCGCAGAACTGCGCATGCGCGAACAGCCGGACAAGTATGGCTAAGCTCCGGCTTTACTCCAGTTAGCCGAAGGACACAGCCAGCTTGATCAGCCCGCGCTCCGCCCAAGTTAAGCCTGTTTTGGATGCGCGGGCAGATGTCGGGCTGAGCTACTGCTATCCGCACGTGGGCATAGCTGCGGCATGCCCCAGCTCAGCCCTAGTAAAAAATACATTGGTTTTGATCAAAGTGGGCAAACCCAAGCTAAGCCCAAGCTGCCCGACGCTTGCCACAGTTCAGCCCAAGCGAATTGCTGGCTGGGTTATAAGTCAACGGGAGAAAATTGAAATGCGCCTCTTTTGGACGAAAGACATTATAAACACTCCCAAACACTGAATATCGAGTGGTTTAGACACACTGAACATGGAAATGGTGTCCGTGACCCCTGTTTATGCCCTGAGGTCATCTTAGGTCACGAATGGTATCTAGTTTTTCGCAAATAACTTTTGATAGAGGCATGTTAGAGCGATGAAAACGCCTTAGATATGTTCAGCTCGACGATACGGATCGAGTGATATGCAACATGGCCCTTCCCGGTCAGGTCATGACCTTGACCTGAGGTCAAATTTTCAAGTTGACCTTTCAAGGTCAAGTTATAATTCATTCGATGCGTCTTGACGAAAGGAACACGATGACGGTAAAAGTAAGCTCGTGCAAGGCTTGGGCAAAAGTTATTGCAGAAAAACTGTTAAAAAAAAATCGGCTATTTTTGCAGTTTTTGCCCCCTGCAGGCAAAACCGTTGACGTTAGGTCAAATCTGAGAGAATTGCTCAGAAAGGGCGTTAATAGGGCTATCGAATGCGCTTTTCTGCGGCGCTGTAGCTCTATTGGTTCCCGAGTTATGCGTTGGCATCTTGGAAATTGTCGACATTCGACCTGGAAATCGGCGAAATTTTGCCTTCAATGACCTCTGGTGACCTGACCTTTGACCTGACCAAAAAATTGACCGAAGTGATTTCCTCATTATTTTTGACGCTCTTTCGAACGCCGCCTTCCGCGTATCGCTACGTGGCCCAGGAGCCGAGTTAGAAGGGGGGTGTTCAGACACCCCCCCCCCCCCAGCAGGGCGTGGAAATCCAGGACCCCCAGCCGGGCGCGGGTTAACCCGCACCTCGATTGGTGCCCTGGTGCTCCGCGACTTCCGCGCCGGGCCGGTGCTCCACCACTTCCGCGCCAGGCCGCGGGGTGTCTGAATAGCCCCCCCCCCCCATCTAACTTGGCTCCTGGGCCACGTAGCGACACGCGGTAAGCGGCAATCGAAAGAGCGTCAAAAATAATGACGGAAACACCTCGGGTCATCTTTTAGGTCAGGTCACCAGAAGTCATCAAAGGTCAAATTTAGTTAATTTCAATAATTTTGGAAACTGCCAACGGCTACGGGCTAATTCGGGAACCAATATAGCTACAGCGCCGCGGAAAAGAGCATTCGATAGCCATTTTACAAACCTTTTTGACTATGTTCTCAGATTTGGCCCAAGGTCAACGGTTTAGCCTCCAGAGGGCAAAAACTGTAAAAATAGCCCTTTTCACGAAAAAACAGTTTTTCGGCAATAACTTTCGACTCAAAAGATCCACGATATTACTTTTGGCAGCATAGCTTGTTCCTCTCGTCGAGACGCGTCGAATGAACTATTTGTTGATCTTGAAAGGTTATTTTGAAAATTTGACCCCAGTCCAAGGTCATAACCTGACCGGAAAGGATCATGTTGCACATTAGTCGATCCGCATTGTCGAGCTGAACACATCTGACGTGTTTGCACCGTTCTTGCACGTCTATATCAAAAGTTATAGCCACAAATCTGCTGGTGACCGTTCATGACCTGAAATGACCTCAGATGGGTCACATGTGCATTTTACCGATTCAGGTGTGTCATGTTTACCCATGAACCGATGTAAGATGTTTGAGAGGGTTTTGAACGACATTCGTCTAAAAGAGGCGCATTTCAATTTTCTCGCATTGATTTATAATGGAGAGGTCGCAAAATTGACCTGACCTTAGGTCACAGACATAAAAAATCCGAGATGTACATTTTATATATATTGTTCGCATATCAATCGCTAAAAGTTTCAAAGTGATCGTTTCGTCGGTGCAGCTTTAGCGAGCCTTCGAACCTTTTCTGAGGTAAGGTCACTTGACGTTACCTGGTGACCTACCCGGGTCTGAAATTTTAACATGTGCGAACATGATACACATATAAAGATACACATCACTGAAATCAGTTCGCCGTCAGCTATCGAATAGTATACCTTACTTCTTGTGAGCACATGACCTACCGACGAACCGTGCTGGGACAAAAAAAAAAGAAAAAAAATCATGAAATGTTCACCCATATCTGTAATGATCGAAGCACGTAGAAATTGATTCAATGCACTTCAACTCCGTACTTTTTGGGAGGTAACCGTAAAGATAGATTTGGGGTAAGATATGACTATATAGTGTCGTGCCGAAATTATGGCATAAGCACTAACCTTTGCAAGCTTGTATTGTGGCGGGACCAACGGCCAGGGCCAGTAATAACAGCGGCAGGCACGTGACAGAGGCCATGGTGCCGAGTGCTGAGGGCAAGTGTGCGGAGCCGCTCTTATACCGCGGCGCGGGCCGTGTCACAGGCTGCCCGCAAAGGTCACTATTTTGACACGCCAAAGGCAACAGCACACCCGGATCTAAACAACACATACGTCACCAGGGCCCAGTTTCACCAAGTGCGGTAAACATCAAAGTCCTTTGATGTTTAGGCGAATTATTTACAGTGACTTTGTCTTTATGGCTTGAAAAAGATTTATATCGAAACACATGTGTAGCCAACTTAAAGTAATATAACCCAAAAACGTTCCCATTGTTTTCCAATTATAATTCAATTTGTCTATCAGTTTCAATACTATCTTTTATAATCTTACTTTCCGCTTCCGCTTCGAGCTGCCAGCAAACATAATTAGGCGAATTAGACATGCTATACTCTACCAATATCTGTGCAAACCCCACCTCCAAGTTCCAACCCCTCAAAGGAAAACACCATAGCTGTGCAAACAGGGGCTTTCGGCATATTCAGCCCAAGTGAACACGACACAAACTACAAGCTGATACACATGTGTCAACCGAGACTGCCCTGCTAACGGGCTGACACCCCTCTCCCCGCGCGGCGCAATGGGTCCCCACACAAACTAAAAGCCCTGTCGTGTGTGCCCTCCTCCGGGAAAAGGTGCTTACTAGAAAAAAAACTGGGGGACCGTTAGCTGGGAAAAATCGCATTTTGTGGAAACGCCCATCCTAACGTGTGGTGCGCGTAAAAAACGGTGGTGGTTTAGGGGCGGGGGGACGCAAAAACATGCCAGAACAAGAATACTGCCGACTTTGCCCGACCGAGCGGCTTAGAACAGAGGGACCGTGCAAACGCATTCGAACCCCGCGCCGCCATCGTCCACATGACACGCCGCTCCACCAATCAGAGGAGGCCGCCGCCTCAGCGGCCCTTCCGCCCGGGGCGCAGCACACTGGGCCGGGGGTCCGGAAAAGTGCTAGAAATTATTTGTGATTGAGTTGTTGATCTCAGTGACAAGCAAACATGCTAAAAACGAAGTGGGGCTGCTTAACCCTCGCCGGACCTATTGTCGGACCCCCCACCCCCTCGGCCGGCCGAGGGGGGAGGGTTGGTACGACCCCTTTTTGCCGTTTCGCCCCTAATGGAGCTAGAGCCTCGCGGAAAAAACAAGCGTGTGCGCCGTTTCAAGGCGGAACGATTGATACCCGATTTTAAGGTCCCAGGTCAACCGGTAACCTCTGAGGTGAAGTCAAAAAGCCCAAGGTAGGGTTTGGTTTTTGGCAAATAATTTCGCAAAAAATGGCCGCAAAGCAGCGATTTTGGCACCATCGTGTTCGCCTGGCTTAGGCGCGTCGAATGGTATACTTTTTGTTCGGGTGAGGTCAACTTAAGGTATTGACCTCGAGTCAAGGTCAGTTCAGAGCCCATCAGGCCACGAACTTAATCGAAGGAGGTCGTATCGCATATCATTCGATTCGGGAGGTCTTCCCGAGTGCATTGATGGCTTTCCCGAGTCGCTGGCTCAATTTGATCATGAGTTATTGACGAGAAACTCCTATGACCGGTGTGACGTCATAAATGACGTCACGGAAGGTCAAAAATGCAAAAGTAAAGCATCGGATCTTGCAAGGAGTGCACGAAATCACGATTCCGTGTGCTTTAGATAGTTTGAAATCATTCCATGCGCAAAAACAACAGTTTCCTTATTTCCCCATTCACTTTTAATGGTGAGGTCACGTGACCTCGAAGAGTAGCAGGCATTAGCAAAAATTGCGAGTAGGGCATGACAGAAAGATGATTGGTGGTTTGTATGGCATGGCCATTTTTAGCGGCTCGAAATAACATTTCTCAAAAAGTCTAACTAAAGAGCAAGTTGTTGTTAATTATCACTGACTTGTGTTTAGGGGCTAATAATGACAGAATTTTTTAGTTTGGCCCAGAAATGTTGACAGCATTGTGTGCGTTGATCAATTCTGAGCTCAGGGACATATATTTTATTTAGATTATAAGCGTTTGTTTTTCACAACTTCCAGCGTTTTAAAGAGCGTCGGGCCTTCAGTAGAGCGGCGAGGTGACAATTGCCCCTACATCATGTGGTTTACTGGCGCATATCTCGAAAAGTAGCAGGGAAAAGCAGCAAAGCACCTATATGGAACAAAAGATGAGTAATCAGAGGCTATTATAAAATGTTCATTTTTAGCCGCTCGAAATAACGTTTTTATAAAAGTCTAATAAAAAATTGGATATGATTTTAAATTACGTCTTGCAGCTGCTTGCAAACAGCTAGCTTATCTTGCAGAAAAGCAATGCAATATGTCAGAATGATGTTGGCACAGTGAACAACAGTGCCCTGAACTAGGCTGACAGGAAATTTCGTTCAAAACGACGATTGGTCAACTAATAAATTACCACTAAAGTTCATCATTAAAATCGGTAAATGTGGTGCCCTATAGAGAGTCTAAATTGTCTTGTGTTTGGTGACAACTGACGACCTCAATTTTGACCTTAGGGCAAAACTAGCATCGGAATCGTATTCTCCGATCAATTTGGGATTAAATGATACCTATTTTGTTCATATTGCGGACAGTTAGTTTGGGGGAATTTCTAGCGCTTTTTCAGGCTGCCGGCCTACAGTGCGCAGGCGGCCCCCCGCCTGCCACTGCCCGCTGCTCGCGGAGGGCCAGACTCCGGGCCGTCTCAGAGGAGACGCTTGTAGTGTCCCGGAAAACCCGTTCATATCTTGTCATATAGGAGCATAAACGGGCATATTATTGTGTAAGATCTCTATGACTGCAACGCCAAGCGCCGCTGAAAATCTGAAAATAAATTCGACCGGCGAGGGTCGATTTTTTTTTGTGAAGAGAAAAAAACGAATGTTGGTTATGTTATTGTTAGATAGCATTGCTCGGCCGGATTGAGGCGCCCCCTCTGCGCGCCTCTGCCGGGCGCCTCCCGCTGAGCGCGCCGCTGCGACCGGCGGCGCGGGGTCAAGGTCACGGCCCGGGGCGGCCGGCACTCTGGACCTGACGCTCGCCACGCACGCGTTCTGCTGCTGCTGCTGGATGCTCTTGTGGAGCTCCAATGCACATTGCACAACACATCGAGACGTTGCTTTTGGCCTAACCTAACCGAAAGGCTCACTAGGGCTTCACTAGGCCCAAGGTCAAGGAATGTCAGCGAAGCGCTTGATCCGTTCCCAGAGACATCCTGCTGCCCACCCGTGGCACACTTTCACAATGTCCGTCATCCACCACAGCTTAGTGGGTCAGCGCTGTTCAAATATGGGAGAGCAACTGTATGACGTTTGTATTTAGAGGTCATAGGCATGGCGGATCTGTGAAATTATTAGAGGACTGAAAGGTCACTGAGACACCTCCTCCCCCATGGGAGGGTCCATGGGGACGTCCTCCATCAGTTCTTTTTCAAGCCTTAAATCAAGTTAACTAAAGCCTTGCTCTATAAAACCATAGCTACAACTTTACCGTGTTTCTGGTAGCATTGGTATATTTAAAGAATGCTGCGTTTCACATTAGAGTCTACGCTACTGATGGCAACATATAGCATGTAACATCATGTCAGCACTCTGACCCGGCTTCTGAATACAGCAGGCGGCAGTGTTTTGCCCGCGGTCATGTGGGAGCTGTCCTGATGCGTGTCACTATGTTGACCTTTGATAGGGCGAGCGGCCCCGGTATAAAGCGGCGGCCAGCCGGCGGCGCCGACCCATGAGCGGTGACCATGGCGCCGGCCGGCACGCTGCTGGCCGCGTTGGTGCTGGCCGCCGCCCGACCGGCAGCCCTGCACGAGACAGGGACAGGTAAGTCATCTGAACCAGGGTCTGAACCGCTACAATCGTTACCGGTCATGGTTACCTGTAATCTGGGAAATGCAGTCGATAATGCCAGGATCTCATAACCCAATACCATTTAATGATTGGCAGTAGAGGCATGGCTTTTTCTCAACAATTTATTCAACGTTTTTCCAACGTTTTATGAAACAGATTTGGGAGGTCTAGTTAGATCTAAGGGTTAAGGAGGTGAGATAATGGATCTAAATAGGGAATAGGTATCATTATCAACAATCAGAAATTTTCAATCGAATTTTGCCCTCACTTAGGAATACGATGGTTTTCAATTGGTGCTGTGGCAAACAGCACCTTGTTTATGTTTAGCACTCTTGTGTACGTCTTGCGAAAGACTAACAAAAGTTTCCCCATTCGTTTAGGTGTGGTCCCCACTCGTATAAGGTGCACAGAGCCTGGCGTAAATAAAGTTTTTCCTGTATGTTTGATGCAGCATCGCAATGTAATCCAGCAATCAGAGAAACTTTGCGCGAGACGTTTTCTTGGATGGTTTTCTTGTATACACTGATTTCATCGGGAGCTTTTCTTCTAAAGTAAATTTGTAAGATTTGCTGTGACGTTTATTGATGACAAGGCCGTATAAAGAAAGTACTTTGAACTGCCTGTATTTCAGTAACGTGTAATAGTATTCTATTTCTGGTAAATTTTGGCCATTTTCAGCAGATAGCGAGGACATACAGGAAATAATATCTAGGACTCTACCACGACGAACTGTTTCTATCTTGGATTTTCAAAGAATTTCATGCCAAGGCCTCGTGCATGAAATTCTTTGAAAACTCTCGATGGAAATATTTCGTTTTCGCGGTTTCGTTCAAGAATGTATTGATACGCGCATTTATAAAAAGCCCTTTTAAGTATATTTTATCTTGCATTTGTTTTCACGGGGTGTGAAAATTTCAGAACCAGGCCTATAACAACGACCTCGTAGAGGTCGTTGTTGGGGACCTGTCCTCTCGGTCCTATCAGATCCGGCCTCCCTCTTTTTTGAGTACTCATGAACCGTTTAACCCTATTCCTGGCGGGCTCCGCCGGGACAAGAAACTGGCGGGGGGGGCCGATTCGGCCCCCCCCCCTGAGATCTCGAGAACGAAGCAAGATAGCGACAAGCGGTAAACGGCATCGGATACGCATGGACAAGGTCTACAATTTTTACAAAGGTCATTTTCAGGTCAGGTCAAAGATGACGTCACAGAGGTCGAAAAAGTCAAAATGGCGGCGCTAGATATGGAGAGTTTTTCTCGAATAACTTTCGAATTAGTCAAGATAGGAACAAATTAAGGGCATCATCGTGATCCTCTCGTCAATCTGCATCGAATGATATATATGTTGACCTCGAAAGGTCAAGGTCAAAGGTTGACCTCAGGTCACGTGACCTCGAGGTCATCATGTATATCATTCGATGCGTCTTGACGAGCTGAACACAATGAGACCATCCACGCGTCTGTATCTAGTTCCTGTACGGAGTTATTGGCCAAAAACCTTTGGTGACCTTTGATGACGTCACATGACCTCACAGCTGCCCAACAGCAAAACAGACCTCAAGGTAGTGAAGGTTGGTCGTATATGAAGTCATGTATGGTATATGGGGCCATTCCGACCCGTTTTAGTGGTAAAAACAGGGAGTTGATTTTTCCCCCATTGACTTATAATGGGGAGGTCGCGAAACTGACCTGACCTTAGGTCACCGATATCGAAATTCCGAGATATACAAATTGCACATACTGGTACCCTAACTAAAGCCTGAAGAGAAGAAATTGATCGGTCAAAAACTCTAGCTCTGGCGTGATTGCAAACTTTTCTGAGGTAGGGTCACCAAACCGCCTCTGGTGACCTGACCTGAGGTCAGATCAACTCAAAATTTTCAGACATGTTGCGTAGAAGCCTTTTAGGAAAAGTCAGAAAATTTGAGCTTCCTAGCTCAACGCGTTTGGGAGAAATAACCAAAAAACCTCAGGGGGGGGGGGCTCCTGAGGCCCCCCCTCGCCAGGAATAGGGTTAAGCTAGCTACGTGGAGCATCTACCTTCTACATCATTTTGACGTCCGTTGTAAACGTGTTTTTGCATTGAGATATAGGTACCAATTTTCTGACCCAACTATCCGGCATTTTTCGTCACAAAAAGGTACATGCTTGAAAAATAAAAATCATGGATACGAGTAAAATACAACGCAGTTAAAAAACGCCGAGAAGTTATTCAACATGGCTCTCGGACTTCAGTAGTTTGTTCACCACCATAGACCCCTTTAAACATGGACTGTGCACTGGCTTAGCCTTATCGACATTTGAGGCAAAATTTTGCCTCTTATGTAAACAATGAATCTAGCATTACATTCGATTCGGTGCTTTTTGTTGCGCTTTAGATAATTCATAATCACAATAGCTTTAAAGGTAGTGTGCCACCTTTGAAAGATTTCCCATTTTATTTTTCCTAGGATAAGAAGCTTCTGTTTTTACCTAATATCGCAAAAAAAAAATCAAAAATGGGCCTGGAATAGTGCCTTTTTCGCCTTAAAGTTTATCGGTTTTTAGATATGTATAACAACTGTAGTGGGCTCACCTGCAAACAGGCGTCGGGCAACAATCGCGAATGCGGCGCACTTGTGACAATAAGCAAAGGTCATTATAGTGTTACGACCATACGACGTGCGGGAATAAGTTATCAGCTGTCTAATCGTAGACAACACAATGTCGAGCCTTAAACTGTAAGCCCGTATTGGTATTGTTTCTTTTATTTGGCTGTCGAACATTATTTATGGTTTGAAATATGATTTTATGTAAAATAATTGATATGAAAAAGCCGTCTTATAAGTTATGACCACATTTCACCACACGCAAGTGGCAGAAATGACAATGATCAGCTGACGCATTTTTCTTGGCCGAAGTCAGAGCGCGCAGCCCGACGCACCACCACCGCACCACAAAGTATGAGCAGAAGCCGCGCCCAAAGCCAGGGCCCCGGTAACGTGAGGTAGCCGAGTCGGGGCAGCGTGCGCTGACCCAAGCCGGGGCCGCAGCTTTGGGCGCGGTCTACCGCATCCCCGCGGGCAGCCCCGGGCTATCGCATGACACCGGGAGGACGCGCGGCTCCGGCTTGGGTCAGCGCACGCTGCCCTGACTCGGCTACCTCACGTTACCGGGGCCCTGGCTTTGGGCGTGGTCTACCGCACCACCTAACAGGCGTGTTCGAAACCGCAGGAGCTGATGATGAACGGGTTTATCGAAACTTGATTGGATGAGCATATCGGTAATAGCGATTTCAGTGTGTGCATTTATTGTTCATAGTGGTGTGAAATGTGGTTGGGGTACGACCGACAACCCGTCGGGGCGAATTTCGCACTGGGGTACTCAAAATTTGAAGAATTTAAGACGTTTCCATGAGTTTTGAAGGTATGGATAAGTTCTAAAAATCCGGTTCTCCTTATCTGGGCCATTAACTCCATACGGACCAAGAAAGCTGGCACACTACCTTTAAAAGAAACGCTACTAACTTATTCTAAGGGACATGGCCAACGGAGAGGTCAGAGCGAGGGGGCGACCCCTGCACTTTAATGATCGGGGATCGGCTCCCGCATAAAGTTGCGTTTTCCTCGAAACTTGACGCTTAGTTAAACACCCCACCTTTCAAACGAAAACTATTAAATAATGCTGCGAGTAGTTTATTTTGTATTGTGCAAAAATACACATGCATGCCTTCCTATTTACTTCTCTCAGTAGTTTCCCACCCAACTCTGACCCCAAGTCTGAATGTACCTGAGAACCTGAGATCATGTACCGGAGAACGTAGGCGCTCAAATGTTCACTCATTTCGATCCAGTCAGCTTTCGGATCTTGTCGGAATCCGAGTTTCTTCGACCAGCGCGTCCCTGTGCTTGCTTTGGCCTCTTTTCGGCGTGTGCTAGGCTGTTCAGGTCCTTGGCATGATTGGAGACGCAAGCGTTGAACAGCGCCCCCGCCATGGTGGGCAAGATGAGTTTGCTGAGTTTGTGACCAGCCGCGCACTCCAGTTGGGAGCCTTCTTTTTCTTCCAAGAGGTTCAGCGAGATCTCCTTAAACACTCTCCTGGGGTTTGTGCACCCAAACAAAATGGCGCGGGTTTTAGCCTCAACTCTCAGGGACCTGAAGATGGAGCATATGTCCTCAGTGATTTTGAGACAAGTGGCAGATGGCTGGAGCAGCTTTCCCCGGTTCAGCAGGTCTGTGAATGTAGCGGCAGGCTCCTGCTCCTCAGCTCCGCTGACTGCTATTTTCACAGAAATTTTGCGATGACCATCCGCGAGAAGGTCACGACAAGGGTTGCATTTGTGCTTCTTCTGCACAGCGTGGGCCAAGTAGCCGGCCATGTGAAACACCGCGTCCTTGCCTTCTTCTGGACCTTCCTCAGCGGGGAGAGACTCCGCAGCGATCTGTGTTAGCTCTGTTGCCACACGGTGGTCGTTCTCCTCTCGCTGCTGAGTTACGAGCCGCATATCTACCGCTACTTCATCCGGAGTGTACCCAGACAGCCACAGCAGGCTCTTGGCACGGATGATAGCCTCGCCTTCTGTAAACTGGCGCGGGCTGGCCCAGAAGTTGCCACCGGCAAGTTTTCTGAGGTGGCCGAAGTGACCCTCTATGCGGTCCGACTGTATCTTACCTAGCAAGACGTACTCTAAATCACACTCCTGCAGCAGGTACTTTGACAGGCCCACCAGGCCTCTGCATGTCAGGACGAGACCCCGAAGAGTGTCAGAGGAGATTTTTGCCGTTCCCGGTTGTCGATCCCAGTCCTCCATCAGAGCGCCAAACTTCTCCAGGTACTTCAGACCGTCTTCATTCTCCAGGCAGATGGGCTTGAGTAAATCGTCCCTTTTTGCCACGTGCTTGAATGGCGACTTCACGTTCACAATGTTGAACCAAGTCCTTACTATCTTCAGGAACTCGGCAGTGTCTGCGAATCCGTCGCACCCAGGCTCCTTA